AGGCACTCAATCTGTCTCCTTCATCCTCAGAGAGACTTGACCTGGGCAGGAAACTGAATGAGAGGCAGCTTTATCAGACCCTGAGAAACTATGTCAAATTAATTGATCTAAAGAGGAAGGAGTCTGACAGAAGAAGGAAGGAACTTGATTCTGCTGGGTTGGAATCTTACATGGCGATTACGCTAGCTACTTTTGTGCCACTGTGACAGAACACTGGGCAGAACTGATTTAAGGAATGTAAGATTCATTTTAGCTCTTGGTTCCTGAGAGATGCCAATCCATCAAGGTTTAGAAAGCGTGATAGCCTGAGCAATGTCGTCCACAGAGGAAGGAGTGTGTAGTGGAACTCTCCACGTGCAGCCAGTCAGGAAGCAGGGAGAGAAGGCTGGCATACCACGGATGAGTGTAACCCTCAAAGGCCTGCCCCATTGCGCTTTAGCAGTGTGGTGCTGAGCAGAGCTGCCTTCCAAGGACCTGCCCTTGGTCACTTATTTCTCCAGCCAAGTCCCACCTCATAAACATTCCTCAGCCTTCAAAATAGTCTTAAGTAGTGCTCCAAGCTGGAGGAAGGGACCAAGTTCACAAAACGTGAGCTTGTCAAGGATATTTCAGATTGAAACCAAACAGGACTGTGGATTTATGTACAGCGTTTGGCAGCAGCATCTACGAGGAACAGAGTAGTAAGAGTCAGGTGCAGGTTGAATGTGAATGGCACTGAGTGTTCAGGAAGTTGAGACTGACGGCAGTCTCCTCCCTTTTGAGCTTCCAAGGCAACAGCTGTGCGCTGTGTAGGTAAGGGAAGCTAAGAGCTGGAGGTTGATTGAAGCTCTTGTGTGTGAATTAAGGAGAGGCGATCTTAAGACTTTTGAGGAAGTAGTCATAGGGGACACTCGGTAGTTAAGTCCAGTGCCATGAACTTGTACTCTGCATAAAGATGCAGAAGAAATTATGGAGAAGGGGACAGGTGGAAATCCCCATCTCAATATGAAAGAGAATTCACAGTTTGCTGACTGTTCTAGGAAACTTGACTATTCTACTGAAGCCAAGTTTAGAACTCTTGAAAGGGTACCTGAGTCTGCTGTATGGGCTGCTTCTCTTAGATGTTGGCATGGAGGCAAATTTCTTTTTACCCAAGTTGTGGGCCTCTTCTGTGCTCTAACTTTCTTCACAAAAGGTAATTTTAGAAAACTCATGGCAATACTCTACCCCAGACTCCAGGGAGCAGCTTGGACATCCTCCAGCTTCAGTCAGCCGTTAGGGGGACACTAATACAATGTGACATAAGGGACAAAATTGAATTCCTTGGCTTTCACTTAATTTCAGTGCACTTTTCTCCCATGTTCAGTGGTCCAGTTCCTTGCCATTAGCTGACTTTGTAAAACTCCAGGTGGGGGAAGATGTGTGAAATGTCATGATACCAGCCAAGCTAGACAGTTTCCCTCAGAACCTTGTTGGAAATGTCTAGGGAGGTTCCTGTGTGAGTTCTAAGTTTCTTCCAGTGTCTGGCAGCAGCAGATGCTAGTGTTGGGCAGAATCTTATTTGGGAGAGAAATGATCAGAGTAAATATCATAATGCTATTAGCTAATACCTGCCTGGCACTTGTAATATGTCAGGCACTTTTCCAAAGCACATCACATGAACCCTTTCATTTACTTTTTAATACTGTTGCTATGAGATGGATACATTGTTAACTTACTTAAGAGAAAAACAAAGTGCAGATCATCCAGTTACTGAAAGAACTTTACTTCAAACTCAGTCAATCTGCTTCGGAGCCCAACCTCTCTCCTAAGGATTTTCCACGTTGCCCCCTACCCATACCTACTGATTATCACGGGTTAAGAGGATTTCCATCATGGATTCCATAGTCTAATGCCCTAAAATTTGGTAATGGGCTTCAGCTAGGCCCACATTGATAGGAAGCAAAACACAAGATAGCTTAGACAGAAACTGGGTAGGAAAGCTGGGTGTATTGTAGGTTGTTGAAGATTGGAGCTGACTGTAGAGGAAGGTGGACAGACAGAGAGTCACATGCTTGTTAATGAAAATCTTGACTTCTCTTTTGTTTAGCTAATTATCCTGGAGAAGTAAAATAACATGTACTCACTTGGGCTCTAGAAAACTCATTTGAACACTTGTTCCTATTGTATGTCCATAGCATGTTGCATGGAAGTTGGGAAGACTGGCGGGAGGCCAGTGACATGCCATTGCTTGGCGTGGAACCTGAGGGGTAGCAGTGTGCAGACAGGGAGCAGACACTGATGGGCTGAGGAAGGTGGCAGACATGGAAGGGGGAGGAAGGACTGGTCCTCGGTCCTCTGGATCCAGTTTCCCATTTGTCATCTGATTCTGTGATAAGGTCTGATGTCTTAGGTGCTTCTAGTCCACAGGAGACAACGAGCGCTCAATGATGTCAGCCCTACTGTTATCCCTAAAGAATATACACAGAACTCACAGCCCTGCACTTTATCACCTGCTATTACAAAATGTGAGGCACTGCCTCCTGGGACCTTAGCTTCTTTCTTATCTGCTCTGTTTATAGAAAAATAGTTGCCAGTTAAAGTCTTTGAAGATCACTTGGCTGAGCTTGGAAATTAAAAGATGACATTCCTTCAGCTTGGGAGTAAACCTAATGTGATTGCTGTTAATCACTTAATTTTTTGCTATCTTCTTACATCTAAATACCCACAACTCTTTGTGGTAATCCTTATTTTTCTGCTTGTCTGGAGTTATCAGTTATTGATAAATTGATATGCTTTTAAAATAACTATATTATTTCCCTAAGAATTATGATATTCAATGCAAATTAACCCCAACTTTCACCATGTAGAGACAACCACTTGGAACAGCTTATTGAACTTTTCTCCAGACACTTCTCTGAATGCCTACATGCATGTAATTGTTCCTAAAGTTTACATGCAGGAATGTATGCAATGTGTAATTTTCCATGGCATTTTTGTTTTTATTTTATGTTATAGCCAGACTTACCCTCCAAATAAATATAGGTTATGCATTCATTTGTAGTATCTGCCTCATGTTCTCTTGTCAGGATATACCAAAGTTCACTTAACAAACCTCTTATCCATTGTTTATTGACAAATAAAAGACTCTGGACACCAAGTAGAAGTCACCTGACCCTGCTAACCCGCATTATAGCTTTTCTGCAATTTGCAAGGATTCTTAGTATTTTCCCATAGCGTGGTAGTCTCTGCTCCTCAGAGGAGCATTGTACAGTAGAAAGAGCATCAAGCTGATTAATGTGGAGAATAAAAATCTGCTTTTAGCTCTGCCATTTAGAGCCATGTAGCCTTAAAATCACTTTCTTTTCTAAACCTGTTTTGTCTATCTGTGAAATGATGTTTGTGGGAATAAGTGATGATCGTTAGGTCTAGTCTACTGGTTTATAAATATTTTGTCAGACTAGATTGTTTATCCTTTTTTTAATCTCTAATACAGTTGTGTCAGGTTTATTCCTCTGTGCACTCCCATGGCCAGCACAATGCCAGTAGAGTAGACAGCAGTCATCCTTTGAGTGATGGACCAAGGGGCCGTCACATCTGTCTCCAGTCTGTGTTCAGGATTAACCAGCTAGGTGGTTTTGTGTCAGCTTCATTTTAACACAGTGAACCTCAGGTATTTCTAATTGCCTATCTGCCTTAGAATTTGTCCACTTATATACTTACATCTATAATGTAAAAGAGTTTAAGTCTTTGTATGTGTATGTGCCTGAGAGAGAATCTTGTATAGGGTTTGGTATATATTCTAGTGGAATAGGTTTTTCTAGGTAAATAGAATCAAAGTTTCTATAGAAGGTGTTACTCAGGTTTTCCTTGAAATGAGAATGTTGTTAGTTCATTTTTTACTCCCTCTTGAGTTGGCATAAAAAGAAATGGGTCTCTTCACTTCCTCTTCTCCCTCCCTGTCCCTCGCTCCCCTTCCCCTCTCTTCCCCCCCACAGCCCCCATTTGAGGTGGGAGTGAACTGTGCTAGCTATCAAAATGTTTCCCCTGTCTTCAGTCGATTCTCTGCTTTCTCTTCTCCCCTCCCCCTCTCTCCTCCTCTCTCTCCTTTTCTCATCCTTTAAAGGAATGAATTCCACTAATGCTATTCCAGTTTAGTCAGTTGGTGATTTTTACTACTGTTTACTATAAAAATGAGCAGCGATCCTGAATTTGATAAAATTCTTTCACCCAATGAAGCCTAAGCATAAATTATTCTCAAGGATAAGAAGGAATACGGTGATCTACACTGAAGATGATGAGCTATGAAGTTATTTCACTCAAGTCATTCCTAGGAGTAAACCACTTTGAAGATGTGACTTAAGACAGATTCAAGGAATCTAGGAGGGTGAACAAGATACTTAAGATAATTTGGTGCTCCCTGATTAACTGATTAGTATGTATCCTGAGCCAGCTTGATTGAATTCTTTCAAAAAGAGTTATGTATGTTGTTTCCTGGCACCTCACATGCTGCATCTATCCATAACATGCCCTGAGTTGTGTTTTCAAAGACTCCTTAATAGAACAAGAAATCTGTCTGGGCTTTCTGGGTTGCTATTCTGTACTTCTAAATAATTTTTAATTACTTATTTTGAGGTGAGACCACCATTAATCAGGTTTGGCTATTATGGACATATTTGCTCATGTTTTGTAGCTCCAGCATGCTTTGCTGTTTCTAGTTACTAGTGTCTAAATTATTAATGCAACAAAACATATAGTATTTTACATTTTTAAATAAATTAATATCAAATAGTCTATGAAAATATTCTCCAGAGATCTCTCCTTCCTATACCTATGTTCCTATTGAAATTGGGTACATTAGGTTTATAGAAAAGGAATCTCCAGATAATTTATCTGTTCTAGTAAACAGGCTACAATTCTGGTTTGAATGCAGTCATTTTCTTCTAAGCCATAGGAGATGCTATCGCCCCAAGTCTCTCCGGGGTTATAACTCCCAATTCTGTTCTCTTATTGTGTCTGACCATGCGGTTCTTGTCTTGCAGTCCCCAGTCTGTCCCAGATCGCCTGAGGATCCGGGTGAACAAAATCAGTTTACAAGATTATGAAGGCTTCCACTACGACAAGGAGAAACTCCGGGAAGCTTGTAAGTTGCAAGTGACTTCTCGACTTCGTGTGATTAGCCTATCTTGAATTCCTGCTCCTCCTCAGTTTGATGGGTAGATTCATTAGCACTGTGTCAATATGTGGTTGGGGAAGGGAAGGGAAGGGAAACGACAATGTGGGACGTGCAAGCGGACTGAATAAAATGGGATGGGGAAGGGTAGTGGCAGAGGTCAGTTGCTGGAGTTCATGTGCTCCTGGCTTATTTACCACTTTGGTCTCAGCTCCAAAGTCAGAAAAGCAGAAAGTTGATGTGGTAACATCTAGAAACTTTTGAGCTAACCCAAATCTCCAAATCTCTTCCTGGAGCCTGCATTATTGAATACTCCCTCACTTCATCCGGAGCATCAGCAAAGTTATCTGCTGAGGCTCATTAGTCATTTTAGCTGCTCTGCTGGTATATGTTGTCAAATCAAGGCCAATGAATATAGAATGTTGATATGATAGAGTGATTCCTTGATGGTGAGGGACCACTATTTCTGAAGTTGTAAATTGAGTCAATCTGTGAACTTTTTCCTTCACCAGTGTTTATCTTTCCTGTATATCTTTGAATACACAGCTAATTGTTAATTTATCTCATCATTCAGCATGTATTGGATGTTGTTACAACCCGGTCACTATTTTAGATCAGTTTCAACATCATGGTATATGAAGTTATTGCTTAAAATAGTTCATAAGAAATTTCAGTCATGGGTGCTACAGATATGAAGATTCAGGGTTCCCTCTTACTTCTGGGGACAAATAGTCAGGTACAGTAAGATCAGAGGAGGGAAGGAAGATGAGCACTCAATAGAATGAGCATGAATGCCACAGATAGAAAGGGTCTCTATATAGAGCCAATGCTTAATCAACCTCAGCATCAGTTGCCCACCGTGGACCTGATTGGAAGTATAGAAGAGGCCACTACTTACAGTGGGTTGAGAAGGGAGTTGGGGGAGGCATTTCTGGAAGAGTAACTTTTGAATTCTGTTTACTTGAGACTGAACTGGCCTGAGCTTTAGCAAACGGGAGTTCTGAAACCCAGGGAGGATCTTGGGGGTGGGTGCAGGGACTTCTGGATCTTCAGGTAGTGGTGAGTAAAGGTTCTTTTTCCTTTCAGGTTGACCACTGAGCCTACTGTGGAAAGCTCGGTGGGCAGCCTTGACTTCCGCAATTCTTTCTTCTGCTAGCTGCTACCGAGTCCCCTTCCATAAACACCAGTGCCTTCAGTTTTCTCCCAGCCCTCACCTCTGTCCCTCACTCTCATTTTCTTTGGCAGAAAAGTATGAACTGAAGGAGAAGCAATTCTCCAAGTCCTTGGATTTCTTCCTTCTGTTCATAGCGTATTATGCATTATGCTTTCTAGTGTAACAGAAATTACGAGTGACAGATAAGGACAAAATCCAATTTAACCCACCGAGAGATGACCATACTATGTGTGACGAGGGAAAGCTGCAGGCAAATGACACTGATGTTTAGACATAACTCATAAGGCACAGCATTTCATGTCTACTCTTTTTCGTGCTTCTAAACTCATAGCTTCCAGTTACTAAGAACAACAAAAGATAATGCATTTCAAGTATCATTTTTGCAGTTTACAGTCAACTCTGGAGAAATCAGCTGGGAGTAGGATAACATCTGAAAATTCTAGTTGAGATGAGATTTGAGGCTTATTTATGGCTTTCAATGACCCATTCTGTCTTCTCTGGCTCTGTCTGTCCACCATTCTGGAGGTAATTGCCATTCGAGTTTTTCCAGGAACTTGACATTTCCTGGCAAGTGCTTTCTTGACTCATCATATCTTAGGTGATAAAACTTCCATGAAGGAAACTTCTTAAGTTGGGAGCAGTAACTCAGCATAAAAGTAGGACAGATAAATTCAGCAGTGTCTTTGGAACCCAAGAGAACAAATAAATTCTCAAATGGGGCAGAAAAGGAGTTATATTTAAGATCTGAGCTTGCAAAAAAAAATCAATAGGAGGTAAAAGTTGCTAATTCAGTCATTTTACTTTTAATAAGTGGTGGTGAAACTGGTTGCTCTGGAAAGCTTAGCCTTTGAGATTATAGATTCACTGTGCCTAGCTCTTTTACCTGGGTCTACCGTGAAACTAAGTATAGATCCATGTGAAGGCTGTAAAGCTAAAGCTGAATATGAGTAAAAAGCAATTCAAGTTCATATGTGATGTGCGTCCCAACATATATGTTATTTCAGAAACATTACTTAAACAAAGTTTCTGGAAGACACCTACATAAAAGGGTCCCTAGGAATGTACTCTGACCCGCATCCCAGAAGAACAAATCAACCAAGTCCTTCCAGAGCATTCATTTATTGTTAGCAAAGTCTCAACTTGAGCAGTGGTGTGATACTGGGTCTAAAATATTAGTTCCTTTCTTGATGACACAACCAAGTGATTTATTCAGGCAGGATGTGGCTGCTTGCCATCACAATGTAATTGGGTCTTGCTCATGTGTCCGGATGGTTGTTCATATTAGATTACAAGCTTGAATGTTTGTTGTCTAACAAAGCCCTGATTCCATCTGTAACTCAGGGCTCCCCCATAATCTGGTATGGCAGTCCCTTTAATTGCTTAGCTTACTTCAGCAGAGAGAAATCTGACTGCACTATTTCAAATGTTTTCCATCTCCCTTCTGTTAAGCTTTATCTCTCCTGGTGACCTAGCCCTGAAATAGTAGCATGGAGTATACAAATGCTTAGCAGGCTCTCCTTCAGATCTTGTTGATAAATTTTGTTATCACTTAAAACAGCTATAGTCTCTTACTGGTTATGATTTATCAACTCCCAGGTTAAAGGTTTTGATTTGAAAGAGGGGAAGAGGTAGAATGTAAAGACAGAGTGTTTATATTTAAAACAAGTGCTAATGCAAATCTCTAACAGTGACAGCAGAAAATCACTACCATTAACTGAATAAAATGTTCAGATGAACCATTAACAAAACATGTATGTAATTGTATAGTCTATGTAAGTGGTAATCTGCTTTTGAAAATCTGTTATAGTTTTAGGTAGAAAACAAATTTTTCATGACACATAGTTCAATATACAGAACAAGTTGATCAAGGTAAAAATTTAACTGTATCCCATGCATTCTGATTAAGCTTTACTTTTGGTATAAACTAACACAACAATTTTTTTTCAGTAAATAAATAAAACCTTTATTTGCTACTTGTTACCATAACAACTCTCAGGAAAAATGAGACAAGTTTCTGGGCAGTGGTATGCAGACCTTTGACACAGGACACTATGTTCTATATAGGGAGCTATCACTTTTGCATGGTGACAGGCATGTCATAGAAAATGACAGGAAAGTGAGTTGAAGACCCAAGATGGCTGGGAAGCACTGGAGTAGAGGATCGGCCAGAAGACTGGAGGCATTCTGGAAGGGCAGGCCAATTCAGAAGGAAATTACAGAGTTCTGTATTAAAGGTAAAATGAGGGAGGAATGACACTGGCTGAGAGGGGCTCATCTCAGCAGCAGCGGAGTTTCTGTGAGAAACTGTGATAAAGTGCAAAACTGAGAGGTATGAGCCTGTACAGGGGCAGGACAAAACTCCAGTCTGATAAATATCAGAACAGCAGGTTTGGGGACAGAGCTGACATAAAATTACTCTTGAGAAATGAGATTTGTTAGGAGAGAGAACCTCATGCCCATGGGGGGCATGGTTGGGCCTTGATGTGGGAGAGCATGAGAAGGGATGTTACATCAAGTCAGAGGTCATATGATGCACTTTGAGGTGGGAGAACATCAAAGACTCTGAGAATTAGGAAAGATGAGCTCCGTGGACTGCATGGACCAAGATTCTAGAGAAGTCTCTGGAACAAAAGAGATATTCTATATTCTGACTCATTTATTTGGGGGACTGGGCTTGCTTTTTTCCATCAAGATCTGTGTGTTCCCAGTAGGGGTTATCAGTTTTCTATCTTAAGAGAAAAGTTACAGGTGTGTGGCCTCATGTCTCCAAGGCTACTGATCTGATCTCTTGGAGTGACCAATGTCTTAAAGTAGCAGGCAAATGGTCTAACATCCTAGCTTTTTGTTTATATAAAAAAGGAATATAGAAATGATTTAACAAGAAAGGAAAGTAGAAGAGGAGACCAAAGGGTTAATGGATGTCAAATTTGAGTCTCTGGCTTCTTTGAGCTGTTGGAGCTTAGTAGGATCACAGAGAGGCTTCCTTGTCTCACAGAAAGAAATCAAGTGTTGGTCTCTGGAGCAGGGGCTGGCATTTGGATTTTTGTGTCAGGACATTATCCGTCTGAGTAAACAGAGTCATCAGCTAGACTAGAGAGAGGCCTACAGATATAAGAACCAAAACAGTTATTTATGAAATAACAATGGGTATAGATCAGGAAGTCCATGAAGAATTTTTTATTAATATGTAATTGAATTTGTTCGATTACATAAAAGAGATGAGGTAAATAGAAGAGTTAATGACGGAACTGGCATCCTGAAGGATGTATTTTTTGGTAGCTATCTTCAAAGAAAAACAATAGGTTTTAGTAGGGTTTTCAGGGATATCCTTAAAGGTAATCCTATTAAACAGTTTTGGACCTCCCATCACAAAAATGGAAAGTCACATACAGAGAATGGTAGAAGATTGGCTACTAAAAAGTCTAAGCTAGCCTGAGATAATTTTGGCTTTGGGCTCAATGGTCTAACCCTTCACACCCCTTAACATTTGTAGAGTTCTAGTGAACACAGATGCAGCTTGTTGAAATTCCAACAGAAATGCAGTTTCTTTTTGAAACTAGCTTTTAGTTAGCTTTTCCATTGGTCAGGCATGGCATTCCATGTGGAAAGTATAGTCTCATGTCCAGTGTAACGAGTAGGTTTTCCTAGAATCTTATGAGGATGAATCTGAGATGTCAGGAAAGTAGATCTTTTAGGAGAGAGAAAGAAATAATTGCCATAGCCACTAAGGAAGAAATTCCTGGATCATATTAATCCTTTGAATTGCTGTAATAATTCACAAGAGTCTAAAATACAA